TTTTTTTTGTTTATGGTTTGCGTACTGCAGATTTCTGCGACATGCTGATTTTCTGTAGGCTAGAAATAGCAATTTAAATGTGCTTTAGTCCTAAATTATTGATCAGCAAGAGTGTCAACTTGTGCTTGCTGACATAACCACAGTTTGTAGTGAGATTCCTTGCGTAGCAAACCTTCTTATACTGAAAACATTCTGACAGCTGTTAGTTTTCTCCAATTTCTAGGAAAATACCTCAAAAGAGTTATTCATCAACAAATAGATAATGTGCTGAATGGTTAGAAACAAGGAAACCTGATTGCTAAGGAAAAAGCAAACTTAATTTATTTGTAGTAGCACAAGTTGGCTGTAACCCAGTATACCTTCCTGTCTTTGCTTTTATCCCTCTGGGTTTGCCATCTAATCATACTGCAACTGAATTTATTTCCTAAGTATATTTCAGAAAATGTGGTAGATTTGATTTGTTGCTTCCCAAAACACCCCAGAGATTTTATGGCAGACAAACATCTGATATGGCTGCATTTTTTAAGGCAGTTTGAGATTGCAGAGGAGCATATCTGTCAGCGGTGTTGGTGGATTTAAATTTGTATTAATATAAATAACGTAAGCAGCATATAGCTTCAGATTCTGTCTGCTCCAATTTTAGTAAACCTATAGAGGAGAATTTTTTTTAAACTGGACTAAACCTGAAGCAGTTGCCCAGGGTAACCAATCGGCTTCTCTCATTACTGAGTCCAGTTAAGATTTGAAAATGAAAGAGAGAAGCTGATTGGTTGCTGTGCACAGCTGTTCCAGTCTTGATAAATTCCCTTAATAGTGTTTTAAAATATTTGTGTTGTGTTCATCTGTTTTTGTTTTTACATTTTAGAACTGTATGCTTCCATTTATAATTAACTTTAATGCTGATCCTGGATGGAGTTAGTCCTATTTCTTTTTCATGGTGATGCATAGAGAGTTTCACCTATTAAAGAATCATTTCCATTTCACCATACTCTATTTGTTAAAAACTGTCGTCAAGTGTATTAAATTGTTAAAATTAAAATGTAAAAAATCAGTTGCAGCATTCTCCTAATTCCAGAGTGTATTTAGAACTGCTCAAAGTGAATGAAAATGAAATGACCACTTCCAGTGGGTTCACGTAAATACACGCCATCCGCTGGAAGTGTTTACACCACGAACACGGCTGCTGCAGCAGCAGCCTTGTTCTTGATACTGTTTTAAACTGACACAATTGCTGTTTAAATACAAGCAATCCGGCGTCTGTAGAGGCGCTGGATCGCTTGTACGGAGGCGATGCATGTCCCCACCCCCGCTCTGCAACCACCGGTGCCACTGTCCGCTTCTCGTGCTCCGCTGTCTCCCATGAGAGCCCTGGACCGGCATGGTGGGTCTCCCCTGATGGATCGAAGGGAGATCAGCAAGCTTACAGCCGCTGATCTCTCCTCCAATCACTGGACCCGGAAATGATGTGCTCCGGACAGCAAGTGGTTAAATATGAATGGTTAAAAATTGAAAAAAACATCAATATAATAGCTAAGGCGAAGAAGTAGTTAATAAAGGCTGATGCTAAAAGGTAAATACGGTGTTAAGTAGAAAGTTTATGTAACAGGGATCCCAACCTGAAACAAGCAATTTCAGGGAGGTGTCCCTCTCATTTCAGGGAGGTGCCCTCTACCCTGTCCGCGGAGGGGTGGTTAGGGGGGGGGGGGGCTGGGAGAGAGCACCCACCTGAAATGATGGCAGGTAGCACATGAAGCAATAGCTTATTTGCTATCTGCAGGTTTGTTTTTTTTAGTACTCTAACAGTTGCAGTCGTCGGAATAAAAAAAAAGGCAGAAGAATGCATAGCTAGATTCCTATTGGCTATTGCACTTTGCAATAGCAAACAAGCTATTGCACCCGCCCTCTGCTGCTTTCAATCACCGGAAGAGGACCTGATAGAAAAATTCAGGTCCCACTCTGCTGATTGACAGCAGCAGTGGGCGGGTTCATTACCTAGTTTGCTATTGGCTATTGAAAAGTGCAATAGCCAATAGGAATCTAGCTATGCATTCGTATTTCTTTTCTGACTGACGACGGGCCGCGGCTCCCAAAGTCAGAAAAGAGGGAAAAAAACGATCGCAGGGAAAGGTTTAATCTGCTCGATCGAGCAGATTAAACCTTTCCGGGAGGAAGTGTTTCTCTCCCGGGAGCCGCTATCTAATAGCGGGAGACTCCCGGAGTGTCCGGGAGAGTTGGGATGTCTGATTGTAATGTATTTGACCTGCAAGGTTGTTTTAACATCATATGTAGAGCAAAGGTTACCCCTTTACATTTTTCCCTCTATCTTAATCACCATAGTACCATTTTCAAACGTTTTGCACACACTAAAATCTGAATTATTTGTATGGAAAATTACTCAAAAACCCCCAAACAATTATACATTTCCTGAAAGCAGAAATCCTGTAGAATAAAAAAAAATGATAGCTGCATTTTTTATGTTGCATAATATTTGCACAAATGTTTATCAAATATTTTTAGGAGAAAAAAAAACATTAATTTAAGTGCACACAAAGGCAATCTAATACCCAATATTTTTTGGTAAAAAAAAAAAAAATGGGGTCACGTCAAGTAAATAGATACCAAACATGTCACGAGTTAATATTGCATGCACCAATGCAATGGTAAAAAAATTATATTTAGAATTGTCCATAGTCGACACTTTAAACTTTGCAATAGCAAACAAGCTATTGCACCCGCCCTCTGCTGCTTTCAATCACCGGAAGAGGACCTGATAGAAAAATTCAGGTCCCACTCTGCTGATTGACAGCAGCAGTGGGCGGGTTCATTACCTAGTTTGCTATTGGCTATTGAAAAGTGCAATAGCCAATAGGAATCTAGCTATGCATTCGTATTTCTTTTCTGACTGACGACGGGCCGCGGCTCCCAAAGTCAGAAAAGAGGGAAAAAAACGATCGCAGGGAAAGGTTTAATCTGCTCGATCGAGCAGATTAAACCTTTCCGGGAGGAAGTGTTTCTCTCCCGGGAGCCGCTATCTAATAGCGGGAGACTCCCGGAGTGTCCGGGAGAGTTGGGATGTCTGATTGTAATGTATTTGACCTGCAAGGTTGTTTTAACATCATATGTAGAGCAAAGGTTACCCCTTTACATTTTTCCCTCTATCTTAATCACCATAGTACCATTTTCAAACGTTTTGCACACACTAAAATCTGAATTATTTGTATGGAAAATTACTCAAAAACCCCCAAACAATTATACATTTCCTGAAAGCAGAAATCCTGTAGAATAAAAAAAAATGATAGCTGCATTTTTTATGTTGCATAATATTTGCACAAATGTTTATCAAATATTTTTAGGAGAAAAAAAAACATTAATTTAAGTGCACACAAAGGCAATCTAATACCCAATATTTTTTGGTAAAAAAAAAAAAAATGGGGTCACGTCAAGTAAATAGATACCAAACATGTCACGAGTTAATATTGCATGCACCAATGCAATGGTAAAAAAATTATATTTAGAATTGTCCATAGTCGACACTTTAAAAGATGACTTTGGCCCCAGAATTACTATTCTCACTATGATGTTTGCGGCGATACCCAAACTGTGGGGCAAAATCGTACATGTGCATGCCCTACGCATGTATTTATTCGCTTGGAGATGGGGGGGTGGCAGGGTTGGTTTTAATTATTTTTTTTTTTTCATAATTTTTTACTTTGTTCCCTTTATTGCTAACAAGCACCTATGTGATAGCATTTCAAGGTGACAAGTTGTATTTATGGAGACGTGGTGTCTGTTACACCCCTGATGTCTCTCCTGCCTTCCAATACAGACGATCAAGCACAGGAATGAGTGTAACTGGCACTTCTGACAGTTCTAAAGCAGGAAGTGCTGACAGTTCTAAAGCAGGAAGTGCTGTGAGCACAGTGCTCCCTGCTTCACTGATCACAGAGCAGATCGGGGAATGAATGTTCCTCGGTCTGCTCTCGCTCTCCATCCTGGCGCTGTTTGATGTGGCCCTGGCCCCTCCAGAGGAGCAGAGGTCCCCAAAAACCATGGGGGCAACACAAGCATTGCCTGATGGAAAAAAAAACATTACAAAGATCATGGCTGCAGCAGCAGCCCAGGACATACATGCAAGTCATATGGTCCTGAAGTGGTTAAGAGACATCAAATGTCATCAAGTTGCAGGCTTTTAGCATTTAATGACTGATATAAAATCAGATGTTTATAGTATACATTTCAAAGTATAATAGAATATGTAATGAAGTAGTATCAGATTAAAGCTTATCTAAACCTAAAAGCAAACATTTAATTGCAATTTATCAGTCTTTAGATGTGGTGGCTGCATTAGTTTGCTTTTTCAAACTTTCCTTTACTTTCACCTGGTGACACTGCCACACACTCCCTGTCCTTGAGTAGCAACGCTCAATGGTTACTCACCATACTGAATCTATGAAGGAGCTGTGATATCACCCTGCTCTCCTGATTTGGACTACAAACAAACACTAGCTACCCTTAGGTCTCATTCACACCTAGGCGTATTGCATATGCGCGTCTGTCGCGCGTTTTTACCGCGCGACAAACGCGCGTTTCCGAAGGCTACTTGGCTGTATCCCAATGGAAACGCGCAACAAAACGGCCCAAAGTAGTACATGTACCTTTTCAGGCGTGGGCCGTTTTGTAGCGCGTTAGGGACGGGCGGAAATACGCCAAGGTGGGAACGAGACCATTGAATACAATGGGATTTATATTTTTGAGCGTTTTGTAGAGCGTTCGTCGAGCGTAGAAAAAAGTATAATTGTAAACCTGAAACTTAAATTAAAACTTGTTTTAAGATGACATACCTTGGATATAATTAAACAAATGCTAACATCCCAGATTGTGTCAATTTACATTTCCAATGTGATGCTAACTTGATTAATGATTTTGTGAAAAATGTTGCGATACCCAGCTTGAGCAGGGATGTTGTCATCTTGTTTAATTCCCTGCCCTAAATCTTACAGGTCTAAGAAAGATAAGGTCAAAGCTGGGGTGAAACCAGATGCCTCTGATCCTGAGCCAGAAGGACTGACTTTGCTTGTGCCAGATATACAGAGAACTGCAGAGATTGTGTATCTTGCTACCACTAGCCTTCGTCAAGCTAATCAAGGTAAGCTCTAGACTGCCATTTTTAAACGGAGGTTTGCCTGTTAATCTGTTAAAAGGCCGTATTATACAAAACTGGTCTTTTAAAACATTTATACGTTGAGGAACCTCTGTCATCTTCCAGAATGGCAAGCATAAACAGCATCACTAAATTTATATAAAAGCAGACTAAAAAGCATTTTTTAGACACAATTCTGTAATTGTGAGGTTGTAGATGATGCAGGTTCACCCGATCTCCCATTCTTTCAGTTCTGGTTCACACCTAGGTTATTTTAAATCCGCACGATATCGTGCAGAACACATTCGCATTCAAGTCAATGGAGGTTGTTCACACCTTTTGCGTTGTCACACGGGCAAAATCGCCTGTCGCACAAAAAGGTACAGGAGCTATTTTCGGGCGGTTATCTCACGATTTTGGTCCCATAGACATGTCTGCATTGAAAAACGTGCAAAAAGCTCAATCGCTTCTGTGTGAGCCAGACCTCAAGGTTAAAGTGACATTAAACCCTCAGATTTTTTAACATAAACCAATACTGTAATGTGTGCCTTACTGTAATCCATGGTTGTTTCCCTTCTCTTTGCTGCTCTTCCTTTTAAATCCGTATCTCTTGTCATGCTGGGGGAGAACTTCCATTTGCAGCTGAGTGCCTCTTCCTGTAGTGCTGGCTCAGGTTGCAAACCTACACACAGACACCATGTATCCATTTCAGAGACAAGGCAGTCAGCTGCAAAACAGAAGTTCTGCCCAGCATGAGAAGAGATACGGATTTAAAAGGAAGAGCAGCAAAGAGAAGGGAAACAACCATGGATAACAGTAAGGCACACATTACAGTTTTGTTTTATGTTAAAAATCTGAGGGTTTAATGTCTCTTTAACCCCTTCATGACTGAGCTAGTTTTCATTTTCTGTTCATAAATGACTGACACACTTCTTACATTTTTGCTGTGCGATTCCTCCACAGTAGTAATATACTTTCTTACTAAATGTACCCACACATATTATATATTGTTTTTTAGAGGACAGATAGGGGTATATAATTATATCAAACACGTGTAGCTAACGCCTCACTTAGTTTAAATAAAATTAAAAAAATGAGGAAAAAAACTAGAATAAAACACTTTTTTTTCACAAGTTTTGATTATTATTATTTTTTTTAGAATTTGTTATATTAATTATAGTATAATAAATATATTTATAATTTTTATTTTCCTAATTTTGTTTTACACTTTATTTTTTTTACACTATGACTGCTTGATAAATGAACTTTTTAGGACGTACAGTGTACGTCTCCCGTCACGAAGGGGTTAAGGTGAAGTTGGAGCCCTTGTTCATGCTGTAAACTATTACCTGCATGAGAACATGTTCTAAAGCCTCCTTGAATAATCCATTAATAGTGGAGATTCCAGTGGTCCCCAGTAGTTTAGGAATAAGATGAGTGATAAGCCAATAAACACTATCAACGAGCAGCACTGCTGAGGCTTCAGGTCTGCTATGAAGGCCTCTTAATTTCAATCAAGGTCATATTGCCTATGGCACATTTGGACTTATAAGGTAAAATATCATCATATGCTTCTTTCAATGTTATGAATTTTAAACTTGTGCTATGTTTTTTAGAGAAGAAGCTGGCCGAGTTCTCTAAAAAGGTAGCTGTGAAGTCCAAACCTTTTTTGGTCTTACGGTCCTTAGAAGAAAAGTATGTGGTTGTCATGAAAAAGCTCCAGTTCGGTAAGACAGTGTGTTTTTCTATTAAATGTTTGTTACTTGTAAAAGATTAATACCAGCAGACAAATTGCCCTGGTTTTGTCGAGTTCACATGATTAAAGAACCTTACTTTTAAGGCGAGAGATGCAATAAGTTTTATTTAATTTGGGTAACCTAGATCAATTTTCCAAGTATAGAAGAATATACACCGATATTAACAAGTAATGAGAAAACAAGCTAATGCTGAAAAATGAGTATTCATAAGTGGATCTTGTATATGTTTATTTTAACTTTGGAACACTTAATTGAAAAATTACTTCCTGGGAAAACAGCAAAAGTTTACGTCATTTTTTTTTTCCTTAGCAACCTACTCCCATTATTTGCAGTAATGGTTACAGTAGGTGGTAGTATGACCAGTTTAACACATACGTTATTAGTCTTTTGACTGGAGTTCTGTACTGTTTGGAGTTATGATATACCGAATGTATTATACTCACTTTGCTGTCCAATTAAAAATATTTATACATTTGTACAGTATAAAGCCCAATAGAAATTTCTCTTTTTTCCCCCTCTGCAGTCCTCTAATGATGCATGTTATCAGCTAGGTTAAGCTTGGACATGCTTATATTAATCTTTTCTCTCAGTGGAAATGTGCTGCCTGCCCTCCTACTTAAAGGAGAACTATGAGGTGAGTGATTTACACTCATCCTCATAGTTAGAGCCAAAGTGTGACATTGAAACTGTCACACATCGGCTCTATTGATCGGGAAGTGAGCAAACACATACCGTCGCTCGATCACTTCCCAATTATCTACCCGCAGTGAGCGGTGACTGTTAGTCCCCGCAGGGATTCCCCCTCTCCGATCCTCCAGCCCTGACTGGAGGAACGGACGGGAGATGGGGCGGGCACAGCTGGCTCTGCCTCTAGATAGGTAGAGCCCAATGTCTATTAGCCAGCTAGGTGGATCTCAACAGTATTGTCTGGATCTGTCCCGGCTGCGGTGCTCTCAGTGTATAGCGAGCAATAGCCCGCTATATGCTGAGCTTTGGGTCACGGGAGGACGCTAGTATATGTTTTCCCTGACCCTAAAGAACTATGGGATAAAAAGGTTACCCCATAATTCTCTGTTAACTGTTGTGTGTTGGCATAGATGAACAGTCGCACCCCTATTCACAATTGTCTCACACATACTTGTAGCACTGAGGAAGAATGACCGTGTGTCTCACCAAGTCTGTTAGATGAAGGAGTGCTCCAATGTAGTATCTCTTAGTTAGCAATGTGAGCAGCAACATTTTAATTTGTTGAACTCTGGAGTTTGGGTTGCACCCGGTATTCATAATTATTTTTTATAAATTATGCAATTTATTATTACTGTGGTGTAGATAATGTAGATAGAATCATAGAAGGCTGCAGGACTGAGAATCATGTAAGTAAATCTGCTTTTTTTTTTTCCCCTAAACAAAATGAGCTATTAACTCATGGGGGGTAGCCCCACTGCAGAGAGAGGAATGAGAAGGAGCTTTGCAGCCAGGTCACTGCATATAAAACTTTTTAAAAACTGGCATTCAGAAAGCGATTTATTAAAGGAGAGCTATGGGGTTAGGGCTTTTCCCCATAGTTCTCCTTAGATTCATGGGAGGACACAAACTAGCGTCCTCCCGTCACCCTAGGCTCAGTATACTGCGAGCTGTAGTTCGCGGTATACTGAGGCGCCGCAGTATACCGCGAGCTGCTGCTCGCGGTATACTGAGACACCGCAGCTGAAGCCGATCCCGACAATTATGTCTGGATCCGCCCAGCTGCGGGACTGACAGCTGGCTCTGCCTATCTAGAGGCAGAGCCAGCTGTAAACGCCCCCCTCCCCGTCCGTTCCGCCAGTCAGCGCTGATCTACTAAGCCGACCTGTGACAAGTCTCATTGTCACAGGTCGGCTAGAACTAAGGAGGTGAGTGAAAAGCACTCACCTCATAGTTCTCCTTTAAATAATGTATGCAGGGAGGATCAGAGCAAAGAACAGCCAACATTTAACAGCTGCCTTATTACTTTAAGATGCTTAACAGTTTTGATGAAAAAAAAACTTTGGCTAATATATTTTCTTCTATGTATTACAGATACTTTTGAGATGGTATCTGAAGATGATGATGGAAAACTGATGTTTAAAGTAAATTACCATTACATGTCTCAGGTGAAAAATGCAAGTGATGCAAACAGTGCTGCACGAGCACGGCGTCTCGCCCAGGAGGCTGTAACACTTTCTACTTCGTTGCCTCTGTCATCTTCATCCAGTGTCTTTGTCCGATGTGACGAAGAAAGACTAGACATTATGAAGGTAATTCTGATTTTATGCATAAAATGTTGTCATGCTATCTGTGTCTGTGTGTTTTTACTTCTGCTTAAGTTTGTAGTTTTTTTTGTACTTTCCGTTTTGTCTGTGTGGAATTGCATATATACATAGCATTATGAGATAAAGGTTTGTAGACACCGATGTGTTTTCAAGTGCCTAAGTAAGCCTAAACCTAGCATTAATGGAGGAATCCCCACTGCTAACTTTTATATTTAGGAATCTGATAGGATGCAGTCACTGTAAGGCTAATCATTTTTCAACCAGCTCAGTCCATGATTATTTTAAATATTGTGATGTTTAAAGACTAAAGCACATTTAAATTGCTGTTTCTAACCTACAGAAAATGAGTATGTCATAGAGATCTGCAGTACACCGACCATAAACTGAAAATCTGTAGCCTAACATTTTACCATCCAATTTGGCTAGTACAAGTCGGTAAAGAAGAACAAAATGGCCACGTGGTTTATCTAGCCTTTTTCATGTTTGTGGCAGAAGGAGACACCCACCAGCCAAACCTGTTAACACTAGGGTTTTTTTTTAATATTTAATTTTGTTTACGGAACACCCCCTAAATTCTCATATCCTGTATATGCGATTGGTGCAATGGTTTTCCCAGACACGTGCACAGAAGCATCACCTGTAATTAGAGTTGCATTTTAACAAAGATCTTGTAAGCAATGGTGAGGGTTACAAATTTTCTTAGTGTAACACTAGAGGCAAGTCAGGTGGTCATGATAAAGACGGAACCTTACACTTACCAGTCAGATGGGTGAAAGTGCAAGAAATGCTTACATCAGGATTTGCTAGTATTTTTTTTTGTGTGTTTTTTTTTTTTAACCTAGAGGATGATTCTGTGAAGGCAGGAATATAGGCACGCTCATTGCTGACTCTTATGTATGCATTTCATCCTTATCCTAGCTATTCATGATGGTCATAGAGCCTACACCTTTAAAAACAAGTGATCATTGACGGCTTTATTTTTTTTGTCCTCACAGGCTTACTTTAATAAACACTTGTTCTTTCTGTGTTGCAATTATTATACTCAATGCTGTTCCTATTTTCATCTCCAGGTTTTGATAACTGGTCCAGCAGACACTCCTTATGCCAATGGGTGTTTTGAATTTGATGTTTACTTCCCTCAAGATTATCCTAATTCTCCTCCTCTTGTAAATTTGGAGACAACAGGTGGCCATAGTGTCCGTTTTAATCCAAACCTTTACAACGATGGAAAGGTAAATGTTTTTTTTTTGTGATTGTTTGATGTGCATCTTTGTACATTAATGTATTGTATGGTTACATTAATGGAAGCTTATGTAATCGATTTTTGGGAAATTCACATCTTATCACAATGGTTAAGTGACATTTCTCTTCTATTCATTGAAGGACACAGCAAATATTGTAGATATGGAACCACAGGGTTATAGCGCTGCCTGCAGGATTAGAACGCTTGGCACAAAACAGAAAAAAAGACCTAGGGGGTGACCTCTGCTGGTGGCCAACCTCCCACCGGCTGACCATAGCCCCAGTTTAACACAACACCACACAAGTGTCCTACAGGGGGACATTCTGTGACATACATTGGGACAAGACTCCTTTGTCGCTGGACAGGAAAATTCAAGTCAGGCGATGCGGGTCAGTTTACTTTGCTGGTCTCATTCCCTGGCTCTTCTGGCTGGAAAGTCCTTCTGGGCCCTTCTCGGATGGGGGGGGGTTTGTTCTTGGGCTCCTGGTTGACTCGGGGTCGGTGGATGTGGGAGGAATTGGCTCTTCCGATAAATGTGTTGCAACTTCAGGCGATTCTTTTGTCTTCTGGTAAGGGTCCAGACTGACATCGCCACAGCTGGCTTACATCAGTCATTAAGGGGGCACAAGAAGCAAGGCCGCGGCGAGGGAAGTGTCCAAGATTCTTTCTTGGGTGAAAAGGCATGTTGCGGCAGTGTACTTTTCCGGGATCGACAACTGCCAAGCCAACTACCTCAGTCGCCAATCTTTCCAGGGGAGTGGTTGCTCCACCTGGGGGTGTTTCATCAGATTTCCCTGCAATGGGGGACGCCAGATGTGGATCTCTTGGTGTCTCATTTCAACAGGTAGGTGGACCAGTTAGTGGCCAAGACCAAGGATCAGTGGGCAGATTCTCTAGCATTTCCGTGGGACCCATCCACTCTAAATATAGGCTTTTCCGCCTGCGCAATTTCTGCCACATCATCTTAGCAGGATAGAGGACGAGGGGATTCCTGTTATACTAGTAGCTCCACACCGGCCGTGGAGCTTGTGGTTCGCAGGTGAGGTTTGTCTGGTAGCCAATGCCCCCTGTCATCTTTCTCTCCAACCAGACCTTTCTCAAGGTTCCATACAGTCACTGGCTTTAATGGCTTGGCTATTGAGAGACAGGGGTTTGTCCGATGGAGTGATCCCCACTAAGCTCAAGGCCCGCTAGGCTACTTTGCGTAAAATATATCATCGCACATGGAAAGTATATTTTGCTTGGTGTGAGTCCCTGAATGTTTCTCCACGTGTTCTTTTGGTGTCTATTTCTTGCCATTTCTTTAGCGTGGGGTAGATCAAGGATTAACTTCGAGTCCTATTGAGGGTCAAATTTCAGCCTTGGCCCTTTCAGCGGCCCTTGGCGTCCAGTTTCTTGGTTCACATGTTCGTTCAGGGAGTTTACAAATATTATGCTTCCCATCTGGTCTCCATTGCCTCCGTGGGTCCTGAATCTGGTGCCTTCCGTTTTGCAGGATTTTTCCTCCAAACATGGCGAGTCGTGTTAATTCCAAAGAGCTCAATTTTGGTCTCATCTGACCGCAGCACTTTCTCCCAATCCTTCTCTGAATCATTTAGATGTTCATTGGCAAATTTCAGACAGGCTTGTACATGTGTCTTCTTGAGGAGGGGGACCTTGCGGGTGCTGCAGGACATCAATCCATGGCAGTGTATCGTGTTACCAATGGTTTGTTTGGCGACTGTGGTCCCAACTGCCTTGAGATCATTCACAAGCTTCTATCATTTCATAAGTGTTTGCCATCATGTTTATCTTTGTTTCCTGTGTTAATGTCCAGTGAGTCCAGCCTTCAACACGTTTCGCCACAGCTTTTTCAGGAAGTTGGGAGAGAGCCTGTAAAGTATATTTAACAGAACTTATAATATGACTGAAGTTTATATCTAATACATGATTGCAATATTCAATTATAATGCAGTGTATCCAGTTAGATACCATTTTGGAAAAAACAGGATCCGGGGGGGTGTTATGCCTTGGGTCAATTTTTTGCCTTTTGGATTATGTTATTAATCTGCTGATCTTTTCTGTTCACAAATCATGTATTTTTAATACATAACAGCTACAATTTCTGTAATACTAACTAGTTGGTTTATACATGTGTAAATGTCCCAAGAAGTACGGATGTGAACCCTTAAAAGCCCCATTGAATTTGGTTTGTGGTTTAATTATTAGGGGTGTGGTGTCATGGTTCCTTGGGTGTTTTCAACCATCTCTGTATATGTGCTGACCCTACAAATTGTCTTTGAACTTCCTTACCTGAAAAATGCATTGTTCTGCTATATTTAGAAATGTTTCAACTGCACCTGTGCAGGTTACAACAGTGGCACACATGTTTATCTTAGCAGTTAAATGCTTAACAAACCAATTAAATGTAAAGCTGCCAAGGCATTTTATGGTCATGTGGCAGCTCTCATGAGATGTTTTCCATAGAAATCTTGCTGTTCAGGCACTTTAATATCTTCATTGCTTGTGGGACTGTTATCCAGCCAGAAAGGGTAGTTTCTGCAGTGCTAAGCAGATGTTGGTAAAATATAATAACCCTATTTTGGCAGCTCCGTTCCAATATATTTCATTTGTATTTTAGTGTAAAATTTATAAACTTTCAGATCTTTTCAGTGTATTCAGATTTTTAATTGAAGTGTAGCAGTGATGCTTTGGTTAAGGGGTTAAAAGATTAAACATCCCTCTACCTGTAGTCATATAATGCAGATAATTAACAATATTATGTTAAAGGCAAAATACCAAAGCTGGCCATACACCTAAAGATTTTCTACGGTTAGATGGGAAAAAGTTCAACAGATTCCTCTATCTACACTAAACTGTGTGGATGGAGCAATCTCCCACTGGGCCAAGCTTTAGTATCTTGTTAGTCGGCCCCGCTTGCTGTCAAAATACCAGTCTGATTGGATGCAGGCATTGTTCAGGTATTTTGACAGCAAGATGCTGAAGCTTGGCCCAGCGGTAGATTCCTCCAACCACACAGTTTAGTGTAGATGGCGGAATCTGTTGGACTTTTTCCATCTGACCATAGAAAATCTATAGGTGTATGGCCAGCTTTAAGAATCTGTCACTCATTTAGGACAAAGTGACAGTTTCATTTTATTGAGGATGCACGTACATCAGGTGACTGCTTGCTAAAACCTGCTTACAGACTTGCTGTCTCAGGGAAAGAGATGCCACTTAGTCACCCCTGGAAAGTCCTTTTTTTTGTGCCTAATTATTATTTAGATTTTATTAGCATAATCAAGATTTTGGTCCTAAAATGTTTGTCATAGCTCCAAATCTTGGATTACATAATAATTCAAAACATTGGTTGAGAGATTTAACCACTTGAGTCTCCAGGCCTTTCTTCCTGAATCGCCTTGGGTCGTGGAGAGTTTTCATTTCAGCTATGTGGCACTTCTGTGTGGCATAGCTTTTAGATTTTGTAATTTACCTTAATATAGTATACAATATTTTTTTCTTAGGACAGATGGGGCTTGAATTTTGTAGCAAATTTGAGTAGGATATATTTTTATTTTTGTTATCTTCCACATAGGAATTCTGAGGATTTTTATACTGTCAGGTTATATTGCTGCCTACAGGAGAAAAGGAGTGGGGGCAACCGTGAATGTTGTTTAGTGGCAGAGTGGTGACGATTTTGCTAGTTGCCTGGTGTGGGTTGTCCTATCCCTCCTTGATTAAGAGACATAGCACAAAAATTCAGGTCACAAATACAGAACACCTAATGTATGATTGTCAATAAACACTATGCATATCAATGCCATATCATTGATGTATAAGCTTGGCTGTGACAGATTTACCAAGTGCCGGGGGCTGCTGGGAGATTAGTTTGGGTCCTCCACACCTTTCTCTTGCACATAGAAGGGTGGACACTCTGAGTAATCAAGTACACTGCATTTGGCTGATGTGCGAAGCGGGCTCTGTATTGACTGGTTTGATGCTGATGGAAAGATTTTTTTGGATATCACAAATGCATCTGCATCACCGTTTAAGAATTTTTAACTCTGGTCTTGGGAGTGCCAGGGGCTGCTGGGAGGAGCTATCTTGTATTGTAAACAGTAATGCAGTTTGGTATGGCTGCTGCCATCTAGTAGCATAGTGTGACAGGCAGATCCTTTTCCATTCATGCCTAAAGCCCTGCACACAAGCTCATAGAACTCTGACTGTTAAACTGCTGTAGATTTTTATCTGCATCGGGTCAGATAGTCATCCCCCCTATAGCAATAACAAAAAGTGCAAAAAAATAAATATAAATAAAAAAATAAGTCACATATAAAAAAAGGGGGAAAAACTCCCCAAAATGTTTAACTCCCCCACCCCCACTTTTACGCGCCTATAAACGTAAATACGCGTCCGGTGCCCCAGCGCGCAAAAATTACAATTGCGCTACACATGTTACATATCGCCGCGAACGTCGCAGTGAGAGAAATCATTTTAGGGCCATCAATCACTGATAACACTAAACTGATGAGCGGTAACAGCTTTTAAAGCGTCGCCTATGGCCAATTATGGGTATTATCGTTTTTTGAGGTTTTGCGCGCGCGCACGCAATTTTAAGGCTTGACATGTTTGGTGTCTTTTTACCCGACGTGACCCCGTCTTTTATATTTTACCAAAAAATTGGGTAATAATAAATGTTTTATCATTTAATATAGGGGAAACTGTTTTTTTTTTTAAAAATTCGTATAGTAAAAAAATAAAAATCCCAATGGTGAATAAATACCACCAAAAGAAAGCTCTATCTGTCCCCAAAAAAGGGTATAAAATTAATTTTAGTACAGCGCTGCATGACGGAATAAATGTCAGTCAAAGTACCGCAGCGCTGAATACTGAAAAATGGCCTGGATGGGAAGGGGGTTTAACACCGCGGATGTCAACTGGTTAACAGTGTTCACCCCGTCACCCTGAGCCAATGGATTTACTTCTAGCTTTCTCTATAGTCACTCTATG